CCCCCTCTCTCACGAGGTGGACACGTGATAGGGGGGGGGGAGTCTACAGCCGTTAACCCCCCATACCTCCCTCTCTACACTTGAATGGTACAAAAATTTCCCTGAAATCAACTCCCTCCTGTAATTTCCTTCACAGACCTGATACAGCGATCAGAATGACATCAATGGCTAGCAAATGTCGCGGGCTGTTCAACGACACCCAACATAACTGTGGGAAAGTTATATTCAGAAAGTTGAATCACGGTGCACATCACTGGTGCACTATGCAATTTCGTACTTCATTCAGTGCACGAGAGAGCAGGAAAAATATGTCTCCTGACAATAGGTGATATTAATACCTTGATGTCCCCCCATAGGATCATCATGAGCAGCTGCCAAAACTTTCTCTCTATAGCAGGTAGGCAACATAACCTGGTGGACTACCTACCACTCATTTGACAAGGGAACACTCTGTGGTCTCCATTTTCTCATCAAAATCTGATCATTGTAGTAGTACCTGGTTGCTGCATCTACAATATCTTCCTTAGAGAGAGCTACATCGTGACATTCTGCAAGACTGGGGTCAGCTTTCTGTAAATCACTCAAGGAGGCGTCCATGCCTTGGTCAGATGCCATTGGCCGAGGCTCAACAGTGTTTTCCTCCACCTCCTCACTACTCTCGGTAGGAGGCGATGGTAGGCTCTCCACAATGTCCTCCGCCTCGTCATCGAGTGGGGCCATGAATGTGTTTGCAAGGTCTACTTAGCTTTCACCACTCGGAAAGTTCCTCATGTCCTCGGGATTTACCACCTGGGCAACCACAGGGCTGCCCTTACATTTAAGTCCCATAGACCTGGTCACCTCACACACAGGGTACACAACATTATCCTCTGTGGCGGGTAGATCCAGGGAAACCTTAGGGTTAGGCAGAATAATAGGCAGTCTGGAGTTCCCTACCTTATCCCCTGCTAAATCATTACCCAGTATTACATCAACATTAGGGAAAGGTAGGTACGAAGTGACTCCGACTGTACAAACACCCTTGTGGAAATCAGATTCCAGGGTAACTTTACGGAGGGGTACTGCTCGAGTATCACTAGTGACACCCTTGACCAGTACTACCTCTCCAGTGTCAAAAGTGTTGACACCTTGCAAAGCACTCTCCAAGATTAAAGTCTGGATGGCACCGGTGTCTTGGAAGATCACCACGTCCTTCCAGGAAGAACCCTCAGACAAAAGTCTCCCCTTCGACACGAATGGGGTAAGCAAGTCCAACCACTGTGGGTTGGAGGTCTTACTCCCTAACCCTTCAGAAAGCCTCAAGCCCTGTGTCACAACAAGAGCATTGGGTCTTTTTTCTGGGTACAGTTGCCAACAACGGCTTGTAATGTGGTTTGCACATTTACAGTGACCACAGACTCGTCAGGGAAAAGAGACATTACTAACAGGATTGCCCTTCGGTTCACCCTTAGGTGCCGTGGGGCTAGACAATTTAACAGTGTTAGTTATGTCTGAAACAGAAGGTGCATTAGTTATAGGGTTAGAATGGGCTGGTCTGGACTGGCTGTGAGTATAAGTTTTGTTACTCTGTGGGCTACAATTATTTTTATTGGGCCTTTTGCCCGCCAACTGGTAGTTTTTTGCCATCTTGGCCAAATCCATAATATTAGAATCTACCTCTGTCCTTCCTCTAAGGTATCGTGTTACAGGCTCTGGCATATTATCTATAAAGTTCTCCGCTAAAACTAAATTTTTAAGTGCCTCGTATGTTTCGGCTTTAGCCGAGCGAATCCATTTTTCAATAAATAATAAATAAATAAATAAATAAATGTTTATTTAGGTAAGGTACATACATACAAGAGATTTTACAAAGATTGATCGATTTATAGATAGAGCTAGTACACACAATGCCTAAAGCCACTATTACGCAAAGCGTTTCGGGCATGAAAAACATCAATGACTAAAGCTTAATACTAATTGAGTATAAAGTATAAAATGTGTTGAAAACAAATAAAAATAAAGATAAAAAAGGGGGAAACATGGCTGAAAAAGCAGCACAAATACAATTAGGTCGACAAACAGCGTTGTTTAAAAAAACAGACATGGGTTGACAATAGAGGGGTAAGGTAGGTTACAGGGAATTTATTAGGTAGTGCTTCGTTTTTATCTTAAACTGGTTGAGAGAGGTACAGTCTTTAATATGGTTGGGAAGGTCATTACACATTCTGGGTCCCTTGATTTGTAGAGCATTTCTAGTTTGATGAAGTCGTACTCTTGCAATATCAAAACTGTATTTATTTTTGGTGTGGTGCTCATGAGTTCTGTTAAACCTTCAATGAAGCTTTTGAGGTCAGGATTGGCATTTCAGTTCAGTGTTTTATATATGTATAATACACATGAGAGAATGTGCAGTGACTTAATATCTAACATATTCAGAGATTTGAGTAGGGGTACCGAGTGATGTCTGGGGCCAGAGTTTTATATTGTCCTAATAGCAGCCTTGTGTTGAGTAACTAGAGAACGTAAATGATTTTGAGTAGTAGAACCCCAAGCACAAATACCATAGTTGAGATATGGATAGATGAGGGAGTAATAGAGTCACCAGGGCAGGGCGGGGTACATAATATCTGATCTTAGAAAGAATGCCAACAGTTTTTGAACCTTTTTTATATATTTAGAATATGTCTCTGGAAATTCAGCTTGTGATCAATGAGAACGCCAAGGAATTTACCATCTAATTTGTTACAAATTTGGGTATTGTTTATGTTGAGATTTATTTGATTAGAGGATTTATTGCCAAACAGAATATAGAAAGTTTTGTCAATGTTAAGGGTGAGTTTGTTGGCAGTTAGCCAAAGATGGACTTTATTTAACTCAGTATTTACTGTGGCATTTAGAGCAAGGGGGTCAGGACAGGAGTAAATGAATGTTGTGTCGTCAGCAAATAGAATTGGTTTGAGGTATTGGGAGGCATTTGGAAGGTCATTAATGTAGATGAGAAAGAGGAGAGGGCCAAGTATGCTGCCCTGAGGAACACCAATGTTGATGGGTAGGGTGGAGAAATGGAATTATTCACAGAAACATACTGGAGCCTGTCAGTAAGGTAAGATTTGAGGTATTGCAGGGAGTGTCCTCTGACTCCATAATGATTTAATTATGAGAAGGTTTTGATGGTTGACAGTGTCAAAAGCCTTACGCAGGTCCACAAATAACCCAACAGGGAACTCATTTTTATCAAGAGTTGCATGAATCAAGTTAATCATACTAATAAGTGCTTCGTTAGTGCTTTTTTGGGGTCTGAAGCCATATTGACAATAGCTAAGTATATTGTGTTTGGCTAGATAAGAGTAAAGCTGCTTGTAGATTAGTTTTTCAAATATTTTTGACAAGTTAAGCAGAATTGATATAGGTCTGTAGTGGTTAACATCTGTGAGATCACCACATTTGTAGACAGAGGTTACTCTCGCTTTTTTTAGAATATCTGGAAAGGTTTGGAGTTCAAGTGACTTGTTGAAGAGCAATGCAATAGCAGGGGCTAAAGATCTGGAGGCTTTTTTGTGAACTAAAGTTGGTATCTCCTCAAGGGCACCAGACTTGGTTTTAAGGGAAAGGATTATCTCATTAACGTCAGTGGAATTAATAGGCTTTAGGTACAGAGACTGTGGATAGTTACCTGTAAGATAGTCCTTAACATCAATACTGGAAGATGGAATATCATTTGCAAGGGATGACCCAATGGAAGAGAAGAACCTATTAAACTCAATAGCAAAATCAGAGGCTGAAAGCTGACCATCGTTATTGGACAGGAGTGTTGGTTTGTTATTTAAAATCTTCTTTGATCCCAATATTTGTGAAATTGTGCTCCAAGTTTTTTTAATGTTGCTCTTTATTTGGGTAAATTTATCTTCGTAGTAGTTAGTTTTGGCTCGTCTAATTATTTTAGATAGCAATAACGAGTAATTCTTTGAGAATTCTTTGGAGACGGTTCCTAACCTATACTTCTTCTCAAGGTCATGTTTTTTATTAATGGATTTAAGTATTCCCTTTGTAAGCCAAGGATTGTTAAGCCTTTTGGTTGTGACTATTTTGTAAGCACAGGACAGTGGGTGTTATAAAGGCTGAGAATTTTTTGAAGAAAAGATTGCACTGCTAGGTTGATGTCCCTTAAGTTACCTAACTCGAACTCCCAGTTGACATTATCACTTTAGGATTAGGATTAGGATAGAAGAATTAGGATTCAAACAATCTAATTTGGTCATTAGCAAATTCAGTGAGAGGTTGGTTGTGAGTAGGCCTAAGGTTGCGATAAGCTTGGTGGTGAGCTTCAAGCGTAATTTCATATGCCCTCAAAATCTGTTCCCTGATTTTACTACCTGTATATTTAAAACACTCGCCGTCAGGCATATTTATTAAAATATCTTGGGCCTTACCCCTAATTCTTTCCTGTAGGATTTTCACCCATTCTTCCTTTGGCCAGTTCATGGGCATGGCCAATCTCTGAAAATGGTTGAAAAACCTTTCAGGGTCTGACTCTGAAAATTCAGGCATGTTATGCTTTTTACCATAATACCTGGGCTTTGAATTCCCGGCAAGTGGTAGTACAGTGGTATTCGCTCTAAATTTAGCCTCCTCGGTTTTGAGTCTTTGCTCCTCTAGTCTTATTTTTGCTAATTCTGGTGTTACCTCTCTGTCCCTATGAGCTGCACTTTCAGGTTGGCTAGGCTAGCATAAAGGTGTATCACTTGGCAATAGTTCTTGGTCTATGCAATGTTGTAATATTTCATTCACCAAAGTCCACTTTTTATTAGCGTCATTTAACTCGAGGCCAAATTCATTGCCTAACAATACTAAATTAGATTTGGGGAGTTTCTTAATCTCTTGCACTGAAGGGTCATTTGCCAGTTCCTGCAATTTAGCCGCCATCACTAATTAATCTAGCTCCTAGCCAAAGTAAAAAATAAAAAATAAAAATTGGAAAAAAACAAAAATTTGCATGGCCCCTATCACAAGGCTACACTTACCTCAATCGTGATGAGACCCAGCTGGGTGTCCAGTCAGTGCAAGATGTTTCCTTTGCCAGTTGAGCTGGACCCTAGGCTACCAACCAACCGTTCTGCGGAATTCAAGAATTTTAGTTTTGGCACTCAAAAATCTAATTTTTTACAATTAAAAGGTTCCTCCCGGTCAGGCCAACCACTTGTTATAAATTTACTGTTTGTTAGGAGGGGTAATGAGTATTAATGGGAAGGGCCGACAGCTATAATCAGGATCAAAATTAGTGGAGATCAGGTAGGCTTGGCCCCCAATAAGAACATAAAGCCATATTAAAATAGTGGTCTCAAGAAAATAGGTCAGTCTACTGGATAATCACTGATCCCCTACACAGGAAGAATGAATACTCCTTTAAAAACTAACTTATTTATTAACCCCCTCTTAACAACCCCCTATATACATTAAAAACAATAACAATAACTACTTTACCGCACTATCTTACGTTAAAAGCCTTGGTCCACGTAGGCAGGATACAAGGTTTTACAATTAGGACAAGCTAGGGTAAAGTTTACTAGGCAAGGGACACTAGCAAGGACTCTAGGTAGCTTGGTACTACTTGAGCACACGTGGTTCCACTGAGACCCCTTAGAGTAACTTAGCAATATAAACACTAGCATAGCCTATACACATTACTACACACTTATGCCAGAAAACGTACATGCTACACGGTACTTAGCTTTGTAAACTAGACACAGGATAAGGTAAGGGAAGAGGAGAAAGAGTCACACAGGAGAGGTGTTGATTCAACTACAGCAGTCCAGACCAGAGAAGACTGGAGGAGCCTCCAGTCTAAGCTCTCTCCAGTTATTGTTGCCGGGGAGATAACTAGCTGATCGTGCAGCTTATAAACATTACAAATCTTCACCGACGTACAATACTGTTTACTTTAATAGTTCTAAGGATAGTTAATAATTAGTTCAGTGTTATAATCAACAACAAGCTCAGACTGAATCCTCTGTGAGAAACAAGATTCATCTTACGTTTGGCAAGGTCGACGGGAATAAGGCATACGGTTTTAAGGAGTCCTGATATAAATATTATTGTAATTAAATATCCATCTCACATGATCCAATTCTATAAATTAATGTATAGTAATTATTTAGAGCTCAAATTGACCTCTGGTTTCCATCTAAGGAACCCAGAGTCGTAACAGCAGTAGCATACGAGCAGCTGCAGCAGCAGCATAAGAAAAGTTGGAGCAGTAGCATAAGAAAAGCTGAAGCAGTAGCGTATGAACAGCTGCAGAAGTAGCATACGAGCAGCTGTAGAAGTAGCATAAGGACAGCTGCAACAGTAACATAGGAGCAACTGCAACAGAAGCAAAAGAGCAGCTGCAGCAGTACCATAAGAGCAGCTGCAATAGTAGCATGAGAGAAGCTGGAGCAGTAGCATAGGAGCAACTGGAGCAGTAGCATAAGAGCAGCTGGAGCAGTAGCATAAGAGCAGCTGCAACAGAAGCATAAGAGCAGCTGCAACAGAAGCATAAGAGCAGCTGCAGCAGTAGCATACGAACAGCTGCAGCAGTAGAATAAGAGCAACTGGAGCAGTAGCATAAGAGCAGCTGCAGCAGTAACATAAGAGCAGCTGGAGCAGTAGAATAAGAGCAGCTGGAGCAGTAGCATAAGAGCAGCTACAGCAGTAGAATAAGAACAGCTGGAGCAGTAGCATAGAAGCAGCTGGATCAGTAGCATAAGAGCAGCCGCAGCAGTAGAATAAGAGCAGCTGGAGCAGTAGCATACGAGCAGCTGAAACAGAAGCGTAAGAACAGCTAGAGCAGTATCATAAGAGAAGCTGGAGCAGTAGCATACGAGCAGCTGCAGCAGTAGCATACGAGCAGCTGGAGCAGTAGCATAAGAGCAGCTGGAGCAGTAGCATTCGAGAAGCTGAAGCAGTAGCACATTAGCAGCTGGAGCAGTAGCATACGAGCAGCTGGAACAGTAGCATAAGAGCAGCTAGAGCAGTAGCATAAGAGCAGCTGGAGCAGTAGCATACGAGCAGCTGCAGCAGTAGCATACGAGCAGCTGGAGCAGTAGCATAAGAGCAGCTGGAGCAGTTGCATTCGAGAAGCTGAAGCAGTAGCACATTAGCAGCTGGAGCAGTAGCATACGAGCAGCTGGAACAGTAGCATAAGAGCAGCTGCAACAGTAGCATAAGAGCAGCTGCAGCAGTAGCATACGAAGAGCTGTAGCAGTAGCATAAGAGCAGTTGCAGCAGTAGCATAAAAGCAGCTGGAGCAGTAGCATAAGAACAGCTGGAGCAGTAGCATACGAGCAGCTGGAGCAGTAGCATAAGAGCAGCTGGAGCAGTAGCATAAGAGAAGCTGCAACAGTAGCATAAGAGCAGCTGGAGCAGTAACATAAGAGCAGCTGCAGTAGTAACATAAGAGCAGCTGCAGCAGTAACATAAGAGCAGCTGCAGCAGTAACATAAGAGCAGCTGCAGTAGTAACATAAGAGCAGCTGCAGCAGTAACATAAGAGCAGCTGCAGCAGTAACATAAGAGCAGCTGCAGCAGTAACATAAGAGCAGCTGCAGCAGTAACATAAGAGCAGCTGCAGCAGTAACATAAGAGCAGCTGCAGCAGTAACATAAGAGCAGCTGCAGCAGTAACATAAGAGCAGCTGCAGCAGTAACATAAGAGCAGCTGCAGCAGTAACATAAGAGCAGCTGCAGCAGTAACATAAGAGCAGCTGCAGCAGTAACATAAGAGCAGCTGCAGCAGTAACATAAGAGCAGCTGCAGCAGTAACATAAGAGCAGCTGCAGCAGTAACATAAGAGCAGCTGCAGTAGTAACATAAGAGCAGCTGCAGCAGTAACATAAGAGCAGCTGCAGTAGTAACATAAGAGCAGCTGCAGTAGTAACATAAGAGCAGCTGCAGCAGTAACATAAGAGCAGCTGCAGCAGTAACATAAGAGCAGCTGCAGTAGTAACATAAGAGCAGCTGCAGTAGTAACATAAGAGCAGCTGCAGTAGTAACATAAGAGCAGCTGCAGTAGTAACATAAGAGCAGCTGCAGTAGTAACATAAGAGCAGCTGCAGTAGTAACATAAGAGCAGCTGCAGTAGTAACATAAGAGCAGCTGTAGCAGTAACATAAGAGCAGCTGCAGCAGTAACATAAGAGCAGCTGCAGCAGTAACATAAGAGCAGCTGCAGTAGTAACATAAGAGCAGCTGCAGTAGTAACATAAGAGCAGCTGCAGCAGTAGCATAAGAGCAGCTGGAGCAGTAACATAAGAGCAGCTGCAGTAGTAACATAAGAACAGCTGGATAAATAGCATAAGAGCAGCTGGAGCAATAACATAAGAGCAGCTGGAGCAGTAACATAAGAACAGCTGCAGCAGTAACATAAGAACAGCTGGAGCAGTAACATAAGAGCAGCTGGATCAATAGCATACGAGCAGCTGGAGCAATAACATAAGAGCAGCTGGAGCAGTAACATAAGAGCAGCTGGAGCAGTAACATAAGAGCAGCTGCAGCAGCAGTAACATACGAGCAGCTGGAGCAGCAGTAACATAAGAGCAGCTGGAGCAGCAGTAACATACGAGCAGCTGGAGCAGCAGTAACATAAGAGCAGCTGGAGTAGCAGTAACATAAGAGCAGCTGGAGTAGCAGTAACATAAGAGCAGCTGGAGCAATAACATAAGAGCAGCTGGAGCAGTAACATAAGAACAGCTGTAGCAGTAACATAAGAACAGCTGGAGCAGTAACATAAGAGCAGCTGCAGAAGTAACATGAGAACAGCTGGATCAATAGCATACGAGCAGCTGGAGCAATAACATAAGAGCAGCTGGAGCAATAACATAAGAGCAGCTGGAGCAGTAACATAAGAACAGCTGCAGCAGTAACATAAGAACAGCTGGAGCAGTAACATAAGAGCAGCTGGATCAATAGCATACGAGCAGCTGGAGCAATAACATAAGAGCAGCTGGAGCAGTAACATAAGAGCAGCTGGAGCAGTAACATAAGAGCAGCTGCAGCAGTAACATAAGAGCAGCTGCAGAAGTAACATAAGAACAGCTGGATCAATAGCATACGAGCAGCTGGAGCAATAACATAAGAGCAGCTGGAGCAATAACATAAGAGCAGCTGGAGCAGTAACATAAGAACAGCTGCAGCAGTAACATAAGAACAGCTGGAGCAGTAACATAAGAACAGCTGGAGCAGCAGTAACATAAGAGCAGCTGGAGCAGCAGTAACATAAGAGCAGCTGGAGCAGCAGTAACATACGAGCAGCTGGAGCAGCAGTAACATACGAGCAGCTGGAGCAGCAGTAACATAAGAGCAGCTGGAGCAGCAGTAACATACGAGCAGCTGGAGCAGCAGTAACATAAGAGCAGCTGGAGTAGCAGTAACATAAGAGCAGCTGGAGCAATAACATAAGAGCAGCTGGAGCAGTAACATAAGAACAGCTGCAGCAGTAACATAAGAACAGCTGGAGCAGTAACATAAGAGCAGCTGCAGAAGTAACATGAGAACAGCTGGATCAATAGCATACGAGCAGCTGGAGCAATAACATAAGAGCAGCTGGAGCAATAACATAAGAGCAGCTGGAGCAGTAACATAAGAACAGCTGCAGCAGTAACATAAGAACAGCTGGATCAATAGCATACGAGCAGCTGGAGCAATAACATAAGAGCAGCTGGAGCAATAACATAAGAGCAGCTGGAGCAGTAACATAAGAGCAGCTGGAGCAGTAACATAAGAGCAGCTGCAGCAGTAACATAAGAGCAGCTGCAGAAGTAACATAAGAACAGCTGGATCAATAGCATACGAGCAGCTGGAGCAATAACATAAGAGCAGCTGGAGCAATAACATAAGAGCAGCTGGAGCAGTAACATAAGAACAGCTGGAGTAGCAGTAACATAAGAGCAGCTGGAGCAGCAGTAACATAAGAGCAGCTGGAGCAGCAGTAACATAAGAGCAGCTGGAGCAGCAGTAACATAAGAGCAGCTGGAGCAGCAGTAACATACGAGCAGCTGGAGTAGCACCCTAGACGGCAGGAGCAGCAGAGGGGAAACTGGCCGGTGACACACATGCACCTTCCGAGAACTGTAGTTGACG